GTTGTTGTGGTTGGAGCAGTTGTTGTTGTGGTTGGTGCTGCAGTGATTGTGGTTGCAGCAGCTGTTGTTGTGGTTGGAGCAGTTGTTGTTGTTGGAGCAGCAGTTGTTGTTGTTGCTGGTACTGTTGTTGTGGTTGGTGCTGCAATGGTTTTGGTTGTAGCAGCTGTGGTTGTGGTTGAAGCAGCAGTTGTGGTTGTTGGTGCCATCGTTGTTGTGGTTTGAGCAGTTGTTGTTGTGGTTGTTGCTTCAGTGATTGTGGTTGGAGCAGCTGTGGTTGTGGTTGCAGCAGCTGTTGTCATTGTTGGAGTAGCTGTTGTTGTGGTTGGTGCCACGGTTGTTGTGTTGGGAGCAGCTTTGGTTGTGGTTTGAGCAGCTGTTGTCGTTGTTGGAGCAGGATTTCTGGCGTTTGGTGCAACCGCTGTTGTGGCTGGAGCAGTTGTTGTTCTGGTTTGTGCTGCAGTGGTTGTGGTTGGATCAGCTGTGGTTGTGGTTTGAGCAGCTGTTGTTTTGGTTGGTGCCACAGGGATTGTGGTTGGAGCAGCAGTTGTTGTTATTGCTGCAACTGTGGTTGTGGTTGGAGCAGCAGTTGTTGTTGTTGGAGGAGCAGTTGTTGTTTTTGGTGCCACCGTTCTTGTTTTTGGAGCAGTTGTTGTTGTGGTTGGTGCTGCAATTGCTGTGGTTGGGCCAGCTGTGGTTGTGGTTGGTGCTGCAGTTGTCGTTGTTGGATTAGGAGTTGTTGTTGTTGGAGCAGCAGTTGTTGTGGTTGGAGCAGCTTTGGTTGTGAGTGGAGCAGTTGTTTTTGTGGTTGGAGCAGTTTTTGTTGTTGTTGGAGCAGCAGTTGTTGTTGTTGCTGGTACTGTTGTTGTGCTTGGTGCCGCAGTGGTTTTGGTTCTAGCACCTGTGTTTGTGGTTGGAGCACCTGTTGGCGTTGTTGGAGCAGCTGTTGTTGTTGTTGGTGCCACAGTTGCTGTGGTTTGAGCAGCTGTGGTTGTGGTTGGAGCAGCTGTTGTCGTTGTTGGAGCAGCAGTTGTGGTTGTTGGTGCCATAGTGGTTGTTGTTTGAGCAGTTGTTGTAGTGGTTGTTGCTGCAGTGGTTGTGGTTTGAGCAGCTGTTGTTGTGGGTGGAGCACCTGTTGTCGTTGTTGGAGCAGCAGTTGTGGTTGTTGGTGCCACCGTTGTTGTGGTTGGAGCAGCTGTGGTTGTGGTTGCAGATGCTGTTGTCATTGTTGGAGTAGCTGTGGTTGTGGTTGGTGCCACGGTGGTTGTGGTTTTTGCTGCAGTGGTTATGGTTTGAGTAGCAGTGGTTGTTGTTGGAGAAGTTGTTGTTGT